GTTTTGATGACTTGGGCAGTTTTGAGGAGAGCTGGTTTTTTGTAGAGTGTCCCCCTGTTGGAATTTGCCTGATGTTTTTCTTTTTTTGAGACAGGGTCTTGCTTTGTCGCCAAGGCTGGAGTGCAGTGGTGTGATTATGGCTTACTGCAGCCTTGACCTCCTGGGCTCAAGTGGTCCTCCCACCTCAGCCTCCAGAGTAGCTAGGACCACAGGCATGTGCCATCACGCCCAGCTAATTAAAAAAATTTTTTTTGTAGAGATGGGGTCTTACTACTTTGCCCAGACTGGTCTTGAACAATCCTCCCGCCTCGGCCTCCCGAAGTGCTGCGATCACAGGTGTGAGCCACCGTGCCCGGTCTACCGGTGTTTTTCTGATGCTAAAACAAGGGTTATGGATCTCGGAGGAAGAGCCCAGTGGGGAGGCACCCCCGTCGCATCTGCCCACGTGACATCTCGGTGGTGGTGCCAGCCTTGACCTCTGGGCTGAGACAGTGGGTCAGGCTCTGCACTGTGGAGATGCCTTGCCTACTTCCCACACTGTGGTCTCTGGAAGGAAGTCACCACGTGCAGCCCATACAGAAGGGGCACGAGCTGGGGCCCCTCCCTGCACCCCTTACTTTATTTATTTAGAGATGAAGTTTTGCTCTTGTCGCCCAGGCGGGAGTGCAGTGGCACAATCTCGGCTCACTGCAACCTCCACTTCCCGGGTTCAAGTGATCCTACCTCAGCCTCCCAAGTAGCTGGGATTACAGGTGTCCACCACCACGCCTGGCTAATTTTTTGTATTTTTAGCAGAGATGCGGTTTCACCATGTTGGCCAGGCTGGTTTCGAACTCCTGACCCCAGTTGATCCACCTGCCTCAGCCTCCCAAAGTGCTGGGATTACAGGCGTGAGCCACTGCTCCTGGCTGGGCCCCTTCCTTTTTTTTTTTTTTTTTTTTTTGAGACGGAGTCTCGCTCTGTCGCCCAGGCTGGAGTGCAGTGGCCGGATCTCTGCTCACTGCAAGCTCCGCCTCCCAGGTTCACGCCATTCTCCTGCCTCAGCCTCCCGAGTGGCTGGGACTACAGGCGCCCGCCACCTCGCCCGGCTAGTTTTTTGTATTCTTTTAGTAGAGACGGGGTTTCACCGGGTTAGCCAGGATGGTCTCGATCTCCTGACCTCGTGATCCGCCCGTCTCGGCCTCCCAAAGTGCTGGGATTACAGGCTTGAGCCACCGCGCCCGGCCGGCCCCTTCCTTTTAAATGTCAGCCTCTGGAGTGACCATCTGTGTCGAGTTGGGAGCTCTTCAGAATGTCCCATCCAGTTGTTGATGATTCTCTGCAGTATTTATGTTGCTTTATGCCTGAACTCCTCCCAACAACGTTCTGCCCTCCACTTAGCAGGGGCTCAGAGAGGCTGTGACACCTGCCCCCAGCAACCAGTCATCTAGCACAGTGGCGCCCGGGCCCGCCTATGCCAGATGATGTCCCCTCGGCACTGCCCACCCCCTACTGCCATTGGTGAAGAACCCAGGAGCCCATCCAGCCCATCCAGGAAGCAAAGAAATGGTGCTCTGGACACCATGCGGACAGCTTCACCCACCGACCCTAGCCAGGCCCAGCCACTCCCACAGCACCTGGCACGGAGTGGGAAGCAAGCAAGGGCAGGCGGGGAGAGAACAGCCTTCTGGCTCTGCCCCAGACGCCTGTCCAACGCACTCCAGTGCCTTCCGGTCTCTCCCGCTCTGGAACTTTCTGGTTACTGATTACAAGTGCTTTAATCCAGGAATGAAATGAAGGAAGAGGAGTTCTGATTGGGTGGACCCTTCTCTTGGAGAGAAGGCAAAGCTGCCAGGCAGAGGGTGGGAGGGGGAGGAAAAGGAGAGAGGAAGCTCCCTTGACAGGCATAAAATGTCCCCATGATTGCGGACAAATGGCTACTCTCAGGCCACGTTCAGCCGAGGCCGGGGGAGGCTGGTCAGGGAGAGGGAGACAGAGGCGAAAGCGGGTTCAAGTTTTGCTAGGTGGCCACCTCGGAAAGGGCTCCTTCTGCTGAGCAAAACTCCTCAATCCTTCGCCTGGCTTGCCAGGAGAACAGCTTGCTTGAAAAGCAAAGGCTGTCATCCTGTAATTAAATCTGAGACCCCCCCCCATGTGACGTTGAGATGAAGCCACTTACATAACTCAACTAAAAATAAGCTGATGAAGGCTGCACGCTTACACTCTCTGCCTCCAGCCCTCCTCTCCCCAGCAGTCCATCATGCTGGCTGACCCAGGGTCCGCGTCACCCGCTGTGGCATCAGGTTCTTGTCTGAAGCCACTCCTGCCTCCGGCCCCACTCGGCACCCTGTGTGCATGAGGGCCCATCGCTGGTGCCCTGGCTGCAGACCCCTGGCTCAGAGCTGGGGTGCCGAGGATCCCCCGGCCCGCCCAGGCGAGGGCTGACGCTCACGAGAGACCTGCTGGGTACTGGCTCCGTCTGCCTCCTTCTCAGTGACTCTGGATGAGCTGCTCATTTACAGAAACCTGCTCCCACCCCCACCCCACAGTCTGGATTTGCGAAACCTACCCCACCCCACCCCCACCGCAGGAAGAAGGTGACCCTGGTCTGGGTGGGGACAGAGCATCTGGGAGGGGGCGGTGGCTGGCAGTCTTGGCGGCTGGCGACACCTCTTCCGCTCTTCCTTCCTGGGAGGCGGCGGGCAGGGCGAAGCCTCTCCGCTCAGTCCATGGTTTCCTTCGGGACGTCTCGTAGAGGCGTGGGTGAGATCCCAGGTCTGGGCCACAATTTCTAGCCACGCTCCCCAACCTTCAGGCAAGCAGTCAGGTTCCACAGCTACCCCACCACACTCTCAGAGTCGAGGGGAACAGGAAGAGGGGGTGGTCTGTGAATACCTCCAAAATAAAATGCGTCGGGACAAGAGTGCCCTCCTAACTCCACCTGGAGCTGGCGTCAGGGCGATCTCTGGATGCCCAGCCCATAAGCCTGGCCTGTCTCTTCCTGGAACCCTTGGTACTCAACCCCCCAGCCCCCTACACCCTTTAGAAAGGCTTCCGCATCAGTGCAAAAGGCCTCACAGGACGCTGGTGAAGGCAAGCACGGAGTGCCCGGGGAACATCCTCGGTGGAGACCTTCCTGGAGACCACTGGTGCAGGGCAGATGCCAGGCGGGCACCGAGTTCCTTGCCCTTATTCTCCATTCCTACGTATGAGGACCTCACCACGTCCTGCTCTGCGCCTGTCATCAGCTGCGGTGCGTCTTCTCAGGCGCTGAGCTGGTCACTTCCATGTATGGCAGGTGTTCCGACAACCCTCTTCTCAGGGAAGGCCTCCGGCCCGCATTCAGCCGCTTGCCCAGCTGCCACGTGGAAGGAGCAGACCCAGGCACTGAGACTGCTGAGCCACTGGCCACCTGGAGAGCAGGCTGGGCTCTGAGTCGGTCACCGAATGTGAACGTGACTATCCCCTTGGACGGGAGTAGCGCGAGAATGAGCAGGCCTGCCCAGGAAGTAATGCTGGGAGCTTCTAGAAGTTGGAGCGGGACCCAGGACCGTGGGAGCTTTTCCGGAGGGGCCTACCTCTGCTGTGTTGCAGCTGATAGGGGCAGCGGGGCCTGGAGAAGAACTGTCCCCAGGCTGACTCCCCTCTTGGAGTGAGGAGACCTCCCGTGTTTGCCTGCCAGCCTCCATCTGTCATCTTGGTTCCAGCCATTCAACTTTCCTCCAGGCGAGCAGGGCTGCTCTACCCCCACCTGCTCCGTGTTGGCCCCAGACCCAGTTCAGGCCAGTGGACATCAGTCCTAGAGCTGCGAGTGAGGTTGGTGGGTGCACAGAGCACGGCAGGAAGCTGGCCTAGACAGAAGGGGGTCAGGGTCAGTGGAGATGCTCCTACCTTCAGGTAAATTTGTTAGGGCCAGTTTGAGCGAGCTTTCTGTCATTTGCCACCAAAAGAATCCTAGAAAATAAATACACAGGATCTTCCCCCAAACACTGGAGACAATAAAGAAAAAGGAAGCAGTCAGGGCCAGAGCTGGAAGGAAATTCAGCTGGAGGAGAGGAGGCGCGGGGCTGTGGTGGGAGGGAGGCAAAGCTTCCTGAATCTTACTTCCCTGGTCTTTCCATCCGCATGAGCCCGTGCACTAGCCCCTGCCGATGTCTGGGGGTCTGCCGGCCAGCCAGCATAGCTGGGTCTCCCCCAGGGGCCTGACTCGTTGAAGGAATGAATGAGTGACTGATTTTCCAGGGATGGGAGGCTGGGAGAGTGTGAGGTTTCATTAAAGGGAAGCGCTCAGATCTGGTGTTTTACATGTAAAGCAAATAATTCCTCCACGTTAGCCTAATTTATGTAAATATTTCTCCAACGGAATTGTACTGGGAGACCTACGTGCCAACTCGGCCAGCTTCCCCCGCAGAATCTCCCCTTGGGACGAACCTTAAGCAGGACCCTTCCTAAAATCTGGAGGCAGCTCCAACTCCCCTATTCCTCCTACGGTTCCGCCACCCCCCAGGGTTTTCCACCTCCAGAGAGTCCTCCGGGGCCCTCGTTTCCTACTGCCCTCGACCCTGCCTTCCCCAGAGACCCCTCCCCCCAAGGAAACTGCCTCCAACGAGAATCTTCTGCCAGCACGCGGGTCCTCCCCTTCCCTAAGAGTCGCCCTGTCCCGAGGACTTCCAATAGGAAACTCCCTTATCCCCTCTCCAGATCCTCCTTCCCACCGCCCTCCCCTAAGATCCTCTTCCCCAACCCTCCTCCCCTAGGGTCCTCCCCTCTCCAGAATCCCAGGCCCAAGTCCCCAAGCGCTGTCTGCCTGTCTAGCGTCCTCCCCAGAGTTCACCTTCTGCAGGATCCTCCCTCCAACTCCTCTCCTCATGATGCTCCCCCGAAATCCTGCTTCTCCAAGTCGTCCCCCACTCCAGGGCCGAGCTCTCTCCAGGGTCCTCCTGCAGCACCCCCTCCCCCAGGGTTCTCCTCTCTGCCCCGAAAGGCCGGCCGGGGAGTTGCCGCTCGCTCGGCGGGCTTACCGGCGAAGCGGTGGGGTCGGGGGCCTCTCCCACCTGTAAACCCGGCCCGGGGCGTCCTGCGTCCGAGCCGCTCGGGTCCCCTCCCCGCAGCGCCAGGCCGTGACCCGGCGGGACAGCCGCCCGCCCCGAAGTGCCACTTCGCGAAGTGCCGCCTCCACGCGGGCTCGCCGCCGGCGCCCCCCGCTCTCCTCCCCGCACCTTCTGCTCCTTCTTCCTGCGCCACCCCGCCCCCGCTTCCCCGCCCCCAGCCCGGCTGTTGCTGGGCCCCCCTCAGGCTGCTCCCAGGGCCCCAGCGCGCGCCGCACCTCCCCCTTCTCCCCCAGGATCGACGCCGCCACCGACCAATCGCTGCCTGGAGTCGGCCACCAGGCCCCGCCTGCGATCCCGCCCCCCTCCCCCGTCTCCGGAACCCACCAATGGAAAGGGCGGTGCGGGGGCGGGGCCTGGCGGTTGCCTAGCAGCGGCAGCGCTGGGCGGGGGCGGGTAGTCGGGGGCGGTGATGCGGGAGCGACGGGGGCGGGACGCAGGGGCGGGGACTGACGCAGGGCGGGGCCTCAGGCGGCTATAAAAGTGGCGGCCGCCGGACAACGGGCTCTGTGGTTCGGGTAAGCTTTCCTCTTCGTGTTGCTGTTTCTGCTGCTGCCGCCGCCGCCGCCGCCGCCGCCGCCGCCGCCGCTCGCGCCCCTGCTCCGGTGTGTGGTGCCGCCGGGACCCAGGACCATGTCGCTGACTCGCTCAGAGGAGATGCACCGGCTCACGGAAAATGTCTACAAGGTGAGCACCGCCGGCGCCAAGCTGAGCCTACTCCGGGTGCGCCCGGGTCTCGCGCCGCCCGCGCGCCCAAGCCCGACCGACCAGGGCGGCCCTGGGGCCGTGCGCGGGGCCAGGAGGCTAGGACTTCTGGGGTCTTCCCGGCGCAGCCACCCAGGCCCCGGGTTGCGGGGGTGGTGAGTCCGGCGCCGGTCGCTCACAGGTGGTCGCCCCTTCCCGGCCGCCCCCACCCCATGCCCGCCGCGGCCCGGCCCGTCCCCAGGCCCAGGGAGCACTCCCCGCCCCGACGGCCCTTCTCGGCCCCGCGCTCCTCTCCGCGCGCCTGACTTGGCGTCGGCAGGAACGGAGCCGCGCTCCGGACCCCGGGAGCCCTCGGACCTGTCCGGGTCGTAGCACACCCGGGCGGGGCCGGGGCGGCGGGGGCGACGGGCCCAGGGGCTGCGGCGCCGGGACGGCGTGGGGGCTGCCTGAAGGCCGCGGCCGGCGCGCTGGCACCGTGGGGCTTTTGCAGGCGCGGTTGCGCGAGCCTCGGGCACTTCCTTCTCAACAGGCTTTCCCTTTCCACAACTCCTGTCCGGCGCCGATGCTGGGGCCTAAGGTGGGAGGTCGAAACGCGGGCAGGCTGGATGGGTGGACGGATAATCCATCATCTTATGTAACCGCGGAGAGAGAAGACTGATTGTGTAGGAGGCTGACGTGCCTACCTTTGCTTCAGATGTGTTAAGAGTGGCGTCCACGTTCTCGTCTGTGAAATGACAGGTTCACATCCGAGGGCCGCAGAGCATCGCTGGAAGCCTCCGCTGCCGCCCCCTCCCCGGTCGTTTCTGTGGCTGGGATAGACGAACAGGCCCTTGATTTCCTCTTTCTTCAGCATCCATTCTCGGTCCGGACCCCCACGCCTGAGCCCAGCAGCTCCCGAGGGGCAGTTTTTCGGAGGAGAAACCCCTGCCCTGGGTGGCCCTGGGTCCTAGGCGATCTCTTACAACAAAAATGTGCTTTGTTCCAAAACTGTCTGAAGGTTCAGTGACAGACTGGGCTTTGAGTGGAGTGGGTATTTACCCTGCAGTTGCTGGTTCATGCCTCCTAACCGGATTGCGCCCTGCCCGGCAGAGTAACAGTTTCTGATTGTGTTAGGCGGCCAAGGCGTGCCTGGCCAGGGGCCTGCAAAGCGCTCTTAGCCCTCAGGCTTCGGAGAGCCAGATGGAGGCTTCTGGGGTGGCCCCTCTGGTTCCAGCTGGAGTGCAGAGGGCAGATTGCATTTGAATACAGCTTTCAATAAAGCTTGTGAAGTTGGGGCCACGTCCGTCTGGAAGGATTCTGAAGGCGGGTGCGGTCGACTAGCTGAGTCTTAAAGCCATGTCGGAGCCCCTGGTAAACAGGATTCAGGGTGACCTGAGGAGTCGGCTTGGGAAAGGCACAGGCCCTGCGGTTAGGTTTGGGGTTTCACAGAGTCTGGCATACGGTTCTGGTTTTGTTGCTCTGTGGAAGCACACGCCGTCAAGGGAGGGAGGTTTATTAAATTATTAGTCATTAGTTCCATTACGACTTGTTCGTGATTGTAGAAGGTGGAAGAAAGAAGTACCACGGCAGAACCTTTTTCCTATTTTCTCTGCTTCTGCACTGAAACCAGAAAGCAGGAACTTTCATGGTGAGACTTGTGGCGGGGTGGGGGTACGTGGAGTGGTTTTGCTCTGGGAGACCGACCCCGTGATCGTCCTTAATAAAACTCTCCTAACTGGCAGTCGGCCTTCACCTAGGTGGAGCTGTAATTTATCTGCGGGTCTGAGTGAAATCTGTTGGCAGGAGGGTGGCAGGAAAACTCTTTAAGAATGAGTGTTTGGGGACTTTGAGCCCCTGTGGACGCAGACTAGCAGGTCTGGAGCACGTGAAGCACACAGGTTCTGCCTTTCGTCTTCCACGGGTGGGTTAATTGGTGATTTTCTCAAGTGAAGATGTGGGGGTTGATGATTTGATTTAGCAGGGCTGGACGCGGTAGGCTGGAGGTGTCTGAAGGGCCGATCCACTTTGGAAAGACTCTGCCCTGGCGACAGGCTTGCACGGCTGCTGCACACAGGCGGGGTTGGTTTTGTAGGTAGGTGGCTCCTGCTGCCACTCTGGGTGCCTGACTGCTGAGTCTTTGAGTCCTGGTGCTGTTACCTTTTTGTCCTTTGTCACTGGGGATCTCAAGGTGCCTTGGTAGTGCCGGTACTGGTTGGGCAGCTTTGGCAATGTCGGCCAGGCAGAAACTCAGCCCACGTGGAGACATAGTCAGGAGACCGCTGAAGCCACCGGTGTGCACGCCTGGGCCGGTCCAGCCGGTCCAGGCAGTGCTAAGCTCCATCGTCTCCTGGGACGGGGCTGCCTCTGGCATCCCTTCCCGGGGCCGCTCCTGTGCCTGGGTTGGCGGCTTGCAGAGCCCTGGCAGTGCCTCTTGGAATGGCTGGGCTGTGGCCTGCTCAGTGTTACCCGTGATGCGGCTCAGCTGTTTGGTTTGGCCGTTGCATCGCCTCAACTGCAGTTCTGAGTGGTGTTTGCCTTGGCAAAGGAGGACGCTTGTCCTTGGCCTTGCTGATTAAGAATGTGAGAATAAAAAGTGCAGTTTTGATTTTCTTCCCTGTAAGAATCTGTAACGCAGACTTTGACCTCTTTTCTGGTGGCTCCATTCCCTTGGGAACTGTGTCCTCGGGGAATTTCATGGAAAATGACGGGGAGGGGAGCAGAACGCTTCCCAGTGTTTGCAGAGAACACAATCTCAGACCTTCTGGGGGCAGCACCTGGGCTGGGCCCTGCAGGGGTTGGGAGGGCAAGGCGAGGAAGACCCCTTCCTCAGGAGCCCGGGCCGGGCCCTCGCTCAGGCAGCCCTGGGTAATGGCCCAGATGGAGGGATGGAGTGCTGGAATCTGCCTCCCGCAGATGACTGAGTGGCCTTTGGTATTAAGGCTACTGAAACTGCAGCCCTCTTGGGGGAGTCCCGAGCATCCCTGCGTGCTGAGGGGCTGGCTGTCTGGCTGGCTGTGGCTCCCGGAGTGCCAGGCGACTGCCAGCTGGGTGTTTTCTTCACGGTCTTGTGTCCGCAGAGAAGCCCTGGCTCCCAGGTGACCCATGGCCTGGAGTGTGGCGGCTCCAGCACCTTCTCTGGGATAGTGCCATTGACCCACAGCCTGTCCCAGAACATGTGAGGTGGGAGAGCATCCGGGGAGGAGGAGGAGTCCCTGTTACAGCCGTGGCCGCGGCCTTCGTGGTGCCAAGGCTCCTGGCCCTGGCTGGTCACTCTCACAGCTGGTGGGGAAGCCAGCTTGGCAGGGCCGTGGTCATGCTTTGAGGAGACGGGTGCCAGTTGGGTTTGCCACCTCTGGTGTGATTGGTAAGGGCTTGTGCCAGGGGGTGGGTGTCACCTGCTGGGTGGCGGGGAGCCCACTGCCGGCTTTTCTGCTCCGGGCCCGGCTGCTGCACTCTGCTACATCCAGCTTCTTCGTGGGATGTGCAGAGCTCACCGTCCCCTCCATTTGGAGACTGTGGTGTGGGGAGGTCTCTGACAGGCACCTCCTGGCATTGGAGCCGCCTGCCTAGGGGGCAGCAGACCCGGCAGCTGAGAAGGAGGGAAGTCACAGTGCTGGGCCCAGCTCCATACGCGCGCGCGTGTGTGCGCGCATGTGTCCATGTGTGTACGTGTGTATGCGGTGCTTTGTTTTCAGGGATACTTCCTGGGGTGGCCCCTGTGGGCACCGTCTTGCTGCAGGGTGGCGGGGTCTGCTGCCACTGAGTGGACCTGGCCTGTGTTTTCTCCCCGTGTGCATGTCATGTTCTCTGCTCCCTGCCCCCGCCACCGCCAGCCTTTGGCAGGGTGCGTGTCTCCCGGAGTCGTGCTGATGTGGTCCCCTCGGCAGGGTGGCCAGGGCACAGAGACCAGTTGGCGCGTCTCGCTGGCCTCTGGGCTGCCCAGCCTCTGTGGGCTTTGGTCCCAGGCACTGTCCTGCCAGTGTTGGCTCCAGGGTGCGTGGCCCTTCTGCTGGCGCTTGCTCAGCGTCCCATGCCTGCTGGCCCCGGGCAGCGTCCAGCTCTCGCCTGGCATCCCATGCCTGCTGTGCCGTTGGTGGTTGCGTGAGGTCCGTGTCTGCCAATGGATGTGACCAGGCGGTTCTGGGACGTGGTGCTTGTGGAGTTGTGGGCTGAGTGGGAGAGTGTCTTGCCCATGCCTGCTGTCCCCACAGGCCTTGCCTTGAGCAGGTGTCCTTCGTTGGGGAGATCGGTTGACTCATGGGACTGACCAAGTGGACTTGAGGTTCAGGGTTAAAATGAAGGCCGGCGCTGCCCTGGGCTTTCAGGGGCCACCATTAGAGGCGAGGGCAGTGGGTGGGAGCTGCCGGGAGCTGTGTTCTTGTTGCTGTCTTGTTTGCAACTGAAGGTTCCAAAGGTCGAGGCCTGAGGGCCATGCCGTGTCTATGGGCACCATGGCCTGAGTTGTCCAGGATAGGTGGTCTTGCAGGGGAGGGCTGCTGTGTGACCTGGCCACTGAACAGGAGAGGTCTATCCCCCTTCCAAGCTCCAGGAGGCGGGCTGGCCAGGAGGCTGAGGCCCGGTGCGTCCTTCTCCCCAGTTCACAGGTCTGGGTCCTGGTCGGGGGAGCAACCCCAGCATCACTGCAGGAGTGGCAGATGGTTAGCAGAGCTGGACATCACCACTTGTCCCCATCCAGCCTTGCATGGCCCTCTCTGCCAGCTGCCCTGGGCTGGCGTTGCCTGTGGCTGCCACCACGGGTGGGGGACACTTGCATCGTCTGTGGAGCTGGGGTGCCACTGACTGCTGGCTGGGGCTGGCTCCTGTCCTTCCTTGCACTGAGCGAGAGTCTGCCCTGTGTTGCCTTCCCTGCCTCCTTGTCTGGGTGACTTACTTTGAAGCCCCAGGATAGGGAAACATCTTCGTGGCTGCACAGAGCCCGTGGTCCCCTGGAAGCTCTGTATTTGGGCGGCCGGCGCTGTCAGCCGCCCCCCACAGCCTGCGCTAAGATCCCTAGTAATTACAGGCAGGCGGGCATGGAGCTGGCACCGGCCTCCAACGCACTTCCACCTCCCGCGAGCGCTGATTCATTCCTGGCCCCTGGTGGTTCCTGTACAGCTGCACGATGACTCGAGGGGCCTCAACCCAGAGGCAGAAGGGGAGGCTGAGAAGGGACCCGTTTGGCTCTGTGACTGCGGGGGCTCGATCTCTGCTGCCCATGGATGCCTCCGGTGGGTATGGAATGGTGGCCAGCCTGTGAGGGGGACCCACTGGTATTTGGGAATGAACATATCTCGTTTCTGGATTCTGGATCGCTCATGCTTGAATCACTGTCTGCCTTTGTTGAGGTCTGCTCGCTCCAGCTCTCTGCTCCTCAAGCAGTGGCCTGGGCCCTCTGAGGGCTCCCTGGAGGTGGTGGCGGCACGTACCGCACGTGGTTGGAATCCCTGTTTTCCAGAGCTGTGGGCAGTGCAGGCTGAGGAGGTGGCCCTGGTGGGGGGCTGGCCTAGGCAGGCTGAGGGCTGTTTCTCCTGCTCTGGCCCAGGGGCTCTTGGTGTTGGTCCTGCACCAAGGGGACCAGAAAGCCCAGGGAACAAGAGTGGAGTAGGCGGTGGAGATGGTGGGGAGGTAGGCCTGAGCCCGTGCTGTGCTGAGGAGTCCCTTCCAGGGGGCTGGAGGCTGGGGGTCTGCCCCTGGCGGGGGCCCGTTTCTGCCTGCCAGGCACAGTGACACCCCCAGCATCCCCCTCAAGTTATCCCCGATTTGTCCTTGGTGTTTTTGACTCACGCTACAGAGCCTTGTCTGCTGGCTTTTGGTTTGGGCACCCCTGAGCCTTGGAAAATCTTGCCTGGTCCTTGGGCTTCCTGCCAGGCCTGCCAGGAGGAGTTTTGCCTGGCCTGTTCCCTGGCCATATGACCTTGGCCAAATCTTGCTCCCTGGGCAGTGGGTACAGCGGGCAGGATGCTCCCAGGGTCCATCCCAGGTCAGGTGGCACCAGCCTTGGTATCCTCAGTGCTCTTGTCCTCACTCTGATGGGCGGGGGTGGGATGTGCGCAGCACCATCAGATCTGATGTCCTGGGCCGTGAGGTGCTGGGGACCCCTTGGAGGGGGAAAGGCTGTCAATTATAACAGGGTGCTTTTTTTTTGTTGCTTAGAGTTTTTATTTTATATTTACTGGAACAGTTGTCTTAAACTTGGGTAGTGTTTTGTTTTTTTTTTTTGAGACGGAGTTTCATTCTTGTTGCCCAGACTGGAGTGCACTGGCACCATCTTGGCTCATTGCAACCTCCACTTCCCGGGGTCAGGTGATTCTCCTGCCTCAGTCTCCCGAGTACCTGGGATTACAAGCATGCGCCACCATGCCTGGCTAATTTTCTATTTTTAGTAGAGGCGAGGTTTTTCCATGTTGGTCAGGCTGGTCTCGAACTCCCAACCTCAGGTGAGCCGCCTGCCTCAGGCTCCCAAAGTGCTGGGTTTACAGGTGTGAGCCACCGCACCTGGCCCTGTTTGGGTAGATTTTTAGATAATCATACATTGAATTCATGTGAAGTAAGTTGGTAGGGTTTTCCTAAAGCTTACTTTGCATGGAGAGCCTGACTTCTGAGCCACGTTTCAGCTCTGGGCTGTCAGTGTGCATGTCCACTGGGCACCTGCTCCTGAGCCGTCAGGGGTGCCAATGCTGGAACACCTCCTGAGCCTGTCTCTGAGATTTTCTTCCACGCCCCTGCTCTGCCATTTTTGTTACTGGCACTTTTTTTCTTTTTTTCTCTCTCTTTTTCTCTCTTTCTCTCTTTCCTTTTTTTTTTTTTTAAGACAGAGTCTCGCTCTCTTGCTCAGGCTAGAGTGCAGTGGCATGTTCTCAGCTCACTGTGAGTTCCACCTCCCGGGTTTACGCCATTCTCCTGCCCCAGCCTCCCGAGTAGCTGGGACTACAGGTGCCCGCCACCACGCCCGGCTATTTTTTTTGTATTTTTTTTTTAGTGGAGACGGGGTTTCACTGTGTTAGCCAGGATGGTCTCGATCTTCTGACCTCGTGATCCACCCGTCTCGGCCTCCCAAAGTACTGGGATTACAGGCTTGAGCCACCGTGCCTGGGCCTTTTCTTCCTTCCTTTCTTTTTTTTTTTTTTTTTGGAGACAGAGTCTCGCTTTGTTTCCCAAGCTGGAGTGCAGTGGTGTGATCACACCTCAGCTACAGTCTCAACCTCCTGCGGTTACACAGTCCTCCTGCCTCAGCCACCTGAGTAGCTAGGACCACAGGTGTGCCCCACCTGTGTGCCTGGCTAATTTTTTTTTTTTTTTTTAATTTTTGGTAGAAATAGGGGTCTTGCTATGTTGCCCAGGCTGATCTTAAACTCTGAGGCTCAAACAGTCCTCCCACCTTGGCCTCCCAAAGTGCTGGGGTTACATGTGTGAGCAAAGGCACCCTGGTGCTTTCTTGGTCAGCAGGTTTTCAGACAATGGCCAGGCCTCCTGTTCCTTCTTTGGATGGTCCTTTTGTGTTTTGTACACTGAGCTGTCCAGGCATGCCGCTGCCTGGTTGTGGCAGAGGAGAGTCAGCAGGTGGGCCATGCGAGGTGATCGCCCGCATGTCATAACTGCCCCAATGGGAGTCGCAGGACGCGAATGGTGGAATGCGCTGGGGTAGCCCAGGTGCCTGTGCTGGTAAAGAGCGACATCTTGACTTTAGAATGGGGGTGGGGATGGTGGTGGGGGAGAGGGTATCCTCTGACCGCCGGAGCTGGAATCTGTCCAGTAGAGGGTTTGTCTCACCCAGAGCCAAGCGTGGTCTGGGTGGATGCTGCTAGTGCCAGGCAAAGTAGCCTTGCCACTTCTAGACGGGGGCTTTAATTTAATTTAATTAATTGATTTAAGACAGAGTCTTGTTCTGTCACCTAGGCTGGAGTGCGGTGGTGTGACCTTGGCTCACTGTAGCCTCTGCATCCTGGGCTCAAGCAATTCCAGGAAGCTGGAATTACAGGTGTGCAGCACCACACCTGGCTATTTTTTGTATAGGTGGAGTTTCACCATGTTGTGCAGGCTGGTCTTTAACATCTGGGGTCAAATGATCCTCCCATCTTGGCCTCTCAGAGATTATGGGTGTGAGCCACTGTGTCCAGTCTAGGTGGGGCTTTTAAACCAGTGGGTGTGGTGGAGGCCAAGATGCCGCCTCCTGATGTGAAGTGGACCTGGGTCCTCGTACACCTCTTTTTCTTCTGAGCTTGTCCAGCCTCCTCTTCCCTGGCCGACTCTGTCTGGCAGAGGAGGCCTGTGTCCGTCTCCATTTGTTCCACCATGGAAAGCCCGTCCTCACGCAGTCCAGGCATGGATGGAACACCAGCCTCCACCTGTCCTGCCCCTGGGCTGAGACTCCAGGGCCTCAGTGACTCCAGGCCATGGAGCAGAGCCGTGGGCTGCTGTCCAACTGGCGGCAGGAGTCCCATCTAGGGATGTGGCTGTGAAGCTGGGGTACTGGGGCGTGGGTGGCGGTACCGCTGTCTCACGCTCTGGCTCTGGGGACGGCTGGGCCCACAGCATCCTGGCACCCTGGAGCCCTCGCCACTGCTCGCACTGGACACTGCGCTGGGTGTCCTCTGTGCACAGCCTCGTTACTGTTGCTTCGTGTGCGGGTCCTGGGTGTCCCTGCCTGACAGGGGATCCTCGGTTCAGGGGAGAAGTGTGTCCCCTCCCATCAGCTGGAGTGACTGAGCCCATTGAAACCGGCCAGCCAACTCCAGGGCCCTCTGGCTCTCCAGCTGTGTGTCTGTCCTTCCGTTCAGGAGTTCGAGGAGTTCAGGAAGGCATTCTCGCTGCTGGGCCTCTGTTTTCTCATTAATTCAGTGAGACAATAGTGTATTTCCTGGCACAGAGAGAGTACTGAGTAAGTGGTGGCCACGATCGCTAGCTCGTGGGACGGAAAGTTCTTCAGAGATCAGAGGTCAGCGGTCCGGAGCAGGAAAGCCCCACCCTGAGGCTGCTTGTCGCTGTCCTGGGTGCCTGTGTTCCTGAGTGTGGCTGCAGCCCCCGGGCCGGGCCACACCTCCCACCTGCCTGACCTGAGATTGGCGGGAGGAGGGGCGGTACAGGCATTCCAAGGCTACCTCCCTGCTTGCTCAGCCACAGTCACTCCTCCAGCAGTGAGCCCAGCCCGAAGACCCGGCCAGAGCCTTCACAGGGAGGGGATGGGGCAGTGGCCTCGGGGGTTCTTGCAGGCCAGGCGGTGACCAGACTTGGGTCTGCGATTGGCGGTAATGAGTGACCTAGTGACCGGGCCTCTCCACTTTGGAGGGGGACTGACACAGTGCCACAGACTGGTGAGTGCACAGGATGGCTGCGGCGCCCGGCTGGTCCCTATGGTGTCTGTGCTCTCTTCTGTCCTTATTGTAAGGCACTGGTCATATGGGATTAGGGCCCGCCCCAGTGACCCGAGTTACTTTTTTTTTCTTTTTTTTTGAGACGGAGTGTTGCTCTGTCGCCCAGGCTGGAGTGCAGTGGCGCGATCTCGCCTCACTGCGAGCTCTGCTTCCCGGGTTCACGCCATTCTCCTGCCTCAGCCTCCCAAGTCGCTGGGACTACAGGCACCTGCCACCATGCCCGGCTAATTTTTTTGTATTTTTAGTAGAGACGGGGTTTCACTGTGTTAGCCAGGATGGTCTCGATCTCCTAACATTGTGATCTGCCCAACTCGGCCTCCCAAAGTGCTGGGATTACAGGCGTGAGCCACTTCGTTCAACTGACCCCAGTTACTTTTATCATGTCCTTAAAGACCCTGTTTCCAAACACAGTTGCACTCGGTGATGCTGGGGGTTAGGACTTCAACACATGCGTCTTGGGAGGGGACACTGTTCAGCCATGACACCCAATGGGCCCCACCCTGCGACAGAGGTACAGTAGCTGCTGGAGGGGCCAAGTCTCCCATGCTGCCTGGAGGTGGCCACCTGTCTGTCTTCAGGCTGATTGCATTAGGAGCCTGTGATGGTTTTCTCCTCTAACCTCAGTCAGAGTGCAGCCTGCGGTTTATGACAACAGGAAGGTTTCCACAGGGACAGCTGATTCCACTGGACGAGCAGTCAGCTGGTGAGGGGCCAACTCAATGCTGGCTACAGGTAAAGGCAGCCAGAATGCACTGTCCTGTATGGGCTGGACACCCCGTAAGGCTGAGCAGTTGTTAAGTTCCGTGACCCAGGCCAGGGTGGCCAGACAGTGGAAGGTGTTTGTAAGGGGCTGTGTC